TGGAGAAAGACAAGGAGACCCCGCAGCGCTCGGCCCAGAAAGTGTCTTAACCTAACCTAACCCTAAATAATAATAAATAAATACTAATTTACTAATTTCGTCATGTACGAAATTGATAAGAGGGGAAGCTGGGCCTGGGGGGGGAGGGTCCAAAAATCGTTCACTAGGACGGACCCGATTTCAGAGTTTTCTGGATGTTTTATAGGAAGCTCTCTTTTCAATTCTTGTCCTACTAGATCACTTTTATAATAGTTTTTAAATACTTTCTTCAAAGAGTTCTCAACGTAATTGCAATTGCAATACATGATAAGTACACTATACACTGTACATTTGTACATTTGTATTTTGTGTATACTATTACAATACATACACAATAACCCTGAAAAAAAAATGAACGGGGAAGAAATATTCAAAGTTACAGATTTTGGGTTCTAGAGCTTATTTATTGCTAAATTAAAAGCTAAACGGATAGAAAAATACTCCATGGCTGAACGCTTCTTTTTTCTTTTTTAAGCATGCCTAAAAATAAATATATTTATCGATATAATAAAGTACAGGGTTGTAATAAAGATTGATCACGCCCAGCTCTCCAGATATTGAGTTCATTGAGAAATTTATTAATTGTAAATATACCAATGGAAAGAAATAAGAAAAGTTTGTAACTGGATGAATTTTATGGATAACAATTGCAAATTGCAATCATTTATGATTAGTTAAATGGAAATAAAATTCAGCTAATGAGAAGAGACCTGGATAAACTGTATCTGAGCATTTGTGTTGTGTCCTGTAAATTGTCGTTTTTGACTTTAAAGGTCAAAAAATATATTCGTTGGTAATTTGTGATCATATTATTCCAATTCTTGATTGTCTGTTGCCAGTTGAAAAATATGAACAATCCCTTTAAAAAGCTGGATTAATTTGAGGTAATTTTAAACCTTTTAACTATTCCTTTTAGAATTAAAATGAAAAAAAGAAATTAAAACTGAATTTATTCCAAATAAAAATGAAAAATTATACAATTGCAACATTTATTCATTTCAGCACGCTGTGTTAGTAATTTTGAAGTTGAACAGTTTATTCCTAAATATTTTGCCATTCTGTTAGGTTGGCATACCTCTAGTATTTATAGTAGACCAGCCAACATTTGCATAGTTAGAAACAAGTTTGACACTTTGGTTTATCAATTTGCATTGCTTTGCACTGTTTAAACAGTAAACACAGGGACAGGACTATACACTAAAGGGTGCTCCAACGAGAAGAGGAAGGCAAACCACAATAATTGCTCGTCAAAGCCACCTGAAAATCCTCGTCCTTCGAATATATTTTAAATTTTTAAATGTCCAACCATTACAAATTAAAAATAATTAATGAAAATCTGGCAAAAATATGGAATTTTCCCAAACTATTTTTTGTGATAAATATTTTTATCTGCAAGAGTTGGACGTTTTGAAAGAGGATTGATTTTGAGGTGGCTCAAACGAGAAAATGAGGAGAATGGGACTCGGACGAGATGTTGTTGTGCTTGACCTTCCTCCCCTCCTCCAAAAAAATATTAATCTAAACCATCTGAGAGATTAATTGATAGGATTGAATTACGATTCTTTGATTTTTTCAAAATGTGGTTTGCCTTCTTCACATTTAACAAAATTACGAAGATTCCATTGGACTAATTTCGTTTTATTTACAGTGGAACCCATAAAACTGTGGAATAAGAAGACGAAATAATCCTCAAACACAAATATTCTTTTCCTTATATCTATATAACCTGAGCTGAAAACTTTAGAATGGTGGATATCGGAATTAAGGCTTAATCCACTCTTTTTCTTAATCTCGAGATTAAATATTGCTTGTTCTCTACTCATTTTTAATCTCCAGATTAATTATCCGATCAGGATTAAGGATATCCCATTCTAAAGTTTTCAGCTCTGATTTATGCTTAAAAACTAAAACAGCTGGATTAAATACTCAAACATGCATGAGAAAATTAAAGCCCTAGGCAGTAGGCAAGTCATTTAAGTCTTAACAAACTCATGCGATAAAAAGTATTTTAGTGGAGTATGGTAATCAATAATCTTTCTTTCTTTCTTTATCAGATTTACAAATTAATTTACATAAGTTTAAAAGTTGAATGATCCAAACCAATTCCCGTATTGTCTGGAGTAATGTTTATTCGTACCAGCCCGACCAGGTGTACCAGCCCGACCAGGTGTACCAGCCCGACCAGGTGTACCAGCCCGACCAGGTGTACCAGCCCGACCAGGTGTACCCAGTATGTGGTTAACCCAACATGTTGTATACAACAAAATTAGTCAGCGGTACTATAGCGAATTCCGCGTAGAGAAAAAATCGTCACTTAATTCTCACGTTTAATCAATACAGGGCTTAAATGACTAATGAGTGAGCTCGTTTTAAATGTTTTTTAAAGACATCTCTAAAGTCCTTAACATTTTTTTAGTTAAGAGCTCACTGCTATAGTGTACAGGGTTACCCACAAAGGATGAGACTTCAGAGACGACTGTACAGAAATTGCACTATCTGTTTCCTTGTATTCATATTTCTTTGCAACAATAAACTTCTTTCTTTCTTCGCTAAATCATTAAATAATACATTTAAAGACAACATTCAAGGCAGAAGACTTAATTTAACCTTGGTACTGTCATGTTTTAAGAGGTTAGGGTCGTCTTTACAGTCTCATCCTTTGTTTATGACCCTGTATAAGTAGGAAAATTTATCTTTGTCATCGCTCCATTAAAAAATCTTTGATTTAACAAAAAAGTTTTTTTTCCAGGTTAAATATGCAATATTTAATTGGCTCAGGTGACATTTAGTCGAGGAGTCAGTAGTCAGTAGTCACTGCAATTTTAGGCCTGATTTAGATCAAAACTTTGAACTTTTTGCATTAAAATTAATTAGTTTTTAACTGTGATGAAGCAATCAAATATGCTAACAAGGTTGCAATTAAATGGACTGGACAATTTAACTTGGTTGGGATTAAACTGTAGGGTGTATCAACTTTTTTAAAACTTTATTTTGGGGATTTTTTTGGGAATGCTTTTTGTCGTTTTAGAGGATTTTCATTTCAATTCAACCCATCTGGTAATTCTAGCATTAAAGTTGCTCTAATGTTCAATATCTCCATCAGTTTTTAAGAAACAAAGAAGGGAGACCACTTTCCGGAAACCTCATAATACGTACATTGTACAATCTTGTTTGATACACCTTTTAACGGAAAAAAAACCGATTATTTTCAAATAATAGGGATTTTTTATAAAATTATTAGAAACTAGCTGAAGTGCCAGGCGTTGCCCGTGGAATTTTTTTAATCTGAATTTGGAAAAAAAATTAGATTCAAAAATGAATTTCTTTTTTAAAAATCTAATTTTTTAACCTATGTTACCCTCGGGGGTACCAAGTGTTCCCTCAAAAAATTTCATCACATTCGGTCCAGTCGTTTGGCCAGCTATAGCTAACATATATGCAAATAGATATATAATATAGATTGGGTCTAGGGTAATCCAACTTTGAAATATCAATGGTTTTCACCACTGGGTTGCAAAGATATAGTTATTCGAAAATTTGAGTGTGTGCAGTCATAATTCCTTTTCCTGCACAACCTTTACTTTTGGAGGGTTTTCAACTTTTCCTTTTTTTATAAAACTGTTTTGGATCTAGCAATCTAGCATGGCAAATCAGATGGATTCAGTCTGAAAATTTCCTCGGTAGAAATATTATTTTTTTAAATTTAATAAGTTTTTAAATCTCAGTTAAAGACTTTTTTAGTCACTCCTGTATGCCGAGTCCATTATCGCCTGATCCAGTCAGGGTTCAGTCATGTGTTTGTTGTCTATTCTAAACCAATAGAAATTGCATGGCGGTAACATCTATCATTCTCTCTATCTCATCATCCAATTAGAAATCCTTATATCGGCGCTATACACTAAATGGAAATATTTACTTCTACTGAAATTATAGTGTAGTATATATAGTTCAATAAAATTAACCTTATTTTATAAAAATTATCTTGTGTATTATTTTCCAAATATTACTTCATACAATTAGATTCCAGAATCTTCCATGAAGAAAGAAAATTAGGGGGAATCATGTTTACAGGTGTAAAATGAACCATATTTAACTGCTTGATGCAGTTTTGTGCATGTCTGGGTGCCTGGCTGCATTGAAACAAAGCATAAGCATTTAGTTCCACAGGGTCGCGTTTTATTCAATAAATACAACCGCGTTAAAAACGGAGCAAAGTATTTTTTAAATTGACAAATAAATACAAATTTCTAGAAAAATATTATATTTTTGCTTTTTTCAATTTTCATAGATTATCTTTTTTTTCAGCTTTTTACAATATTTTTGTTTATTGTTAGAAATATAACTTTTATAATAATAGATGAATAGAACGGAGAACTGGTTAATGGCGTCCTAATCGTCTAGTGAACTTTTGCACTAAATTCAAATAAAACTTTGTTACAGAAGGAAAGGGGGGGTTGGTCCGGAAAACGGTGCAGAAACCTGTGCAGATATTTCTCCAAACATTTATATTTAAACAATAGACGCTTACTAAACTTTATTTTAAACTATAGCTTTACCCCGGTACTATAATTGTAGTATGTACAAGGATACCGGTCTAGTCTTTACTTGTACCAGCCCGTCTAGTGAACCCCGGATGTAGTTGACCCAACACATGTTCAGCAACAAACGTAGGTAAATTGATCCAGTGTGGCTTGAGAACCCAGCTTTGGCCTGGAAAGTAAAATTCAACCAACTTAACGTAGAATTTTTAAACCAAGCTA